AGGAAGGTCTCATCACGTGACCAGCTCCCTGCTGAATGTGAATCTCAGATTGCGTATGCATTCTCTGAATGTCGAACATACACGAATGTCGATTGTTCACGGGGAGTACGCACAAGGGTCGGAAAGATACCTAGCTTGTAAGGTGCATTGCATGCGCTATGTCGTGGGTGCAGGCGAACATGGGTGTAAAGGTTTACATTATCGTCGTTTGTTCGCTCAGGGACCCATCGAGCATTAGAGCAAGGTCAATATTCCGAAGACTGCATCACAGAACACTAAGATACGATAAACTGACGTACAACCACAAAATTGAAACGACACCAACGGAGTCTACCAATGATCAACTCACCTGCAATGGCGCAAAGCAGCAGCAAAACGATGAATCGATTCATGATGATGGTGGTTGTTGCAAGCTGTTGAACTAACGGTATTAACGACAAAGGTTGCACTAGAAGCAGCAGTACACGCCAAGCCTCAGTATGCCAAAGAGAGGCAAGATCGTGTCTTTATAAGCAATTAGGGCCAAATACAAAGTCATCTAGGTCAAAATAAATGTACCAGGAAAAATCTTTGCCCCATTTCAAGAGGATACTTGAATGAAAGTTTTGTCCAATTCCATCCAAGTCATCATAAATTAGAATTTCTACTCTATCAGAACAAAAGTATTAGTTTGCACAGTCTCGAACCAAACAGTGTAAACCCCGTCTTTTAATTTAATATTCGGCTTTCAATTACCATTATATCAAAAAGCAATTGTGGCCCTGACCAATATTGAATTTTCGATGTCATAGTCAAAGTAAAGAATGTTCAACACCAACACTGTGTTTGGCTCGGTTGAAATACCAGCAGAACTAAATGTGCCCCGTACTTGACAAAGAATTAGTCAAACATAACTTAGTTACTATGTACTTGAATTTGTTCAAAAATAATTATACTTCAGTGATGAAGTTGGGCAATTTTGTCAGTTAATTTATTTTATGTTTACATTTATTTAAATCGAAACTAGAGGTTTTGCAATTGTGGTGGAAAATCGCTGAGCTGTTTTGGGGGTTTTACAAATCCATGAAAAATGACAATGCCCAAAGAACAATGTAAAACGTTGAAAATTTATAACAAACTACACGAATAAGTTAAAACGACAATCATTGTCACGTGACTTGTCAAATAATGTCAGTTTTCATCTATAACAATTCCTTTTCCTGGTAATCAGACATACTTGAGAAGATATAGTGCTTTGAAGGCTGCATTTGATTTTTCGCATGACATGTCACCCGATGACATCATCTCCATAGGCCAATTTTCGTCCATAACGCTTCCCTTTCTAGATACCTGCAAATGTTTCGACCCAATCAGACCTGGACTTCAGAATGTAAGGAATTTTTAAGTGTAAACCTATAATGTTATGAGGCGTTTCACCTGATGACGTCAGTGACGATATCCTTCTTGGATCCTCTTATGACATTAACCAAAGTTTTTAATTACGACACAATGCTGTTTGGGTTCATGCCAACTCTCATTCCAGTCGGACTTATTGTTCTAAAGATTTTGGTTTATAAAGGAAACAAAGTAGCGGCAAGTCAAGTGGCCTCAAATGACGTCATTATGACATCACTATTTTTTAGAGAATGGGGGGATTATTTCTTCAAGATATAATTGAAACAAGAACAGATGTTTTTACAAAACATTGTATTTTGTCACTCTTTGTGGCCTTTTATAGGCTTGTAGAGGGGTTGTAATTTCCCCCTTCATCTGACAGATTGACATTTAATTATTGGTTGCCAAAACGGCCAACTGTTCCTAAATCTATGTTCAATTTGCAGAATTAGTATAGGGCAAACAATTGCATTTGAAAATTATCTGAGTGTCATACCTTAAAAGTCCCCCTTTCCGAGTTGTTGGCACGTACGCCTATGTATTTGACAATTTGCGTCATTCCATCATCAACTTAGTAAGAGAAAATATAAGTTGCAAAGAATGGCAGTGGAAGGAACACCGCCCTTTTATGTAGCTAATCCAGATGGTGTAGAGCTAAGGGTCGATATGGACATAATAAATACCTCATGTCACGCACACGCGTAATCGTTTACACTGTACGTGCTCTGAAGCCAGTTTGTCTACTCCACATGCTACATGAATGACACGCACTTACATACGTAAATCCATGTGCGTGTGTACACCCAAAGGGTGCAACCTGGTAATTAGGCCAGAAATATGTCCGCCGAGCTCATTAATAAAAATTAAAAACTCAAAATATTCTATATTAGAGGGTCCTGAGAGCCATGGAACTGAGGGATTCAAGAAATATGAGACTGGACCTCTGGGCCGGACTCAGGGCTTCCAATTCTGAACAATTTGGATGCAATCGGGTTTGAAAGTGGCACTATTTGAGCCATTTTGCTGAGGGAGGGTTTTTCAAAATGGCTGCTTTTCTGGACAGGGACATTTTCTGCATTTTAGGGGAGGTCTGCTTCTGGTGAAAATTTCTCAAAAATTCATTGGTTAACCCCTCGAAAATTGAAAGGAAAATGAAAGAGGACATGTGGAACATCATTTTTCTGTAGCCTGAACACCTGTGCGAGTTGTGAGTATTTTTAAAATATTTGTGAAGTATGGGGATTTATCACTGCTGTCTATGGGAATTTATTTGTAGTGGTGCACCCCACAGACAATGTTCATTCTCTGTTTGTCTCCGTGATTGTAAAACTTTGATGGTAAAACGTCCAGCTTTGTATTTTGCGGACTTAATATTTCTCATCGTCATGGGGATTATGCAGGCAAATTCATTTAGTCACCGCCACTGTATACTGATGGGGGGCATTTTCCGACTTTGTTCGAGTCCGCAAAGGTATGGCAAAAGTAGCCAATATACGTCGTTCTCCAGCCTTTTCAAGTCTGTTACTGAGCAATAACAAATTCAGCTGACGGACACAATACCCTGTTGATGTCCTGCAGCTTATTCCATTTAGACCTGCATGGTTTCTCATTTATTCAGTTTTAGCGTTGATGTCGCACAATTTGAAGAAAAGTCAATACAGACATAATACATTAAATTCCAAGTTTTAATCTCACGTTAAAACCCCTCAGGGTGTAAGTACAATCATATTGAAATCTGAGGATTTAGGACAGTTAGGTTAAAAAGAAATTCATTTTCCACTCCATAAAGCAACCCGGCTTCATAAAGTACCTGGAAAAGAGATCACTTAATAACAAATGGCATTGCGCGCGCGACTCGGTGGACCATGTGCCCGAAAACGGTTCTTTTTGGTAAATAGGAAGCAAGCAGCATATCTTTCTAAACGTCAGAGTTAATCCCTCCTACCTTTTTATCAAACGAAATTGTTGCCTTTAGTTTGCAATTTTTTGTGGGTGTACGAAACAGAACAACGAATCCTCGCGGGGAATGTCAGAAAAGAGGACGGAGCTGCAAACCGCCTACATGCATGATATACGCACCTGCAACCGCGCAAAGGAAATGTCCCGGATGCTGCATGACCACGTACACGCGAGACGCACGTGGCGTGCACAGATGGTGAGCGCTGGTCGTGTCACGGGTGGACCAGATCAGTGCTATGCACGCCACGGGTTAGAAGGCTTAAAGTTTTATGTACAAAAATACCACCGCAACTCGAGCAATGCCCACAGCATTATATCCACTTATTTTGAAGTTTCTGATTAAAAAAACCGCCACGAAAATGCTTCAAACGGCGTTGAAAGTATTGGAAGTCTATATAGGGTTAGGAGTCATCGCAAGTGCATTTCTTTTCTCACGAGGACCAGTTGTATGCACGTTGCATAAATCAACGTAACTGCAACTGTAATCCTGGCTTTCAAGACACTGAAACTAACCTGATTGCAACGCAGGCCCAATTGTAGTCCCCTTCAGGCAGTCCAATCGCTGACACTGCAGCGGCCATGTGACCGCAAAAGGAAAGGTCGTGTGACCACACATAGGGAAGCCCAAGTGAAAAAAATAGCAGCGCTTCACCTTGTTAAATGACTACAGCGATGCGAAAGTTTTGCCACACGAAGGTACCACGATGAAGTGGTTTAGTTTAATAAATACTTTTTCAGGATAACTACATTCCCCTGAGGTTCAAATTGTCGAGATTTTAATGTATAAGTACTTTGACAAGTGACATGAAAGAATGAAATGAAATGAATGAAAGAATACTTAGATTTGAAATGCTTTTGAACATAAAGAAAACATCATTCCTGCTTTTTTGGGTTCAATTCCTCATCCACAGTTCCGCTGAATCACTGAGGAAATTCGTGTTGCTTTAAGTTAAAAATAATTTTGAAACGGTATATTTCTTGGTATAAAATCTAAACTTGTTCTCTGACGCTTTGGGTTTGTAGAGCACATTTAGTGCTTTGGTTATAAAAAGAGGCCGATCAACCGCACAATTTGTACGTGATCGCTACTTACCGCACGCCGTGTGGAGTCCCAGTACCGCTGGAATATAACACAGTCCGCTCTCGCTTCGTTGTCAATCCCGATATAAAGTAATTTTCATTCATATTGTTTTATTTGACAAAAATACTCTTAAACTCAAACAGTAAGCCCTACTAATTCCGCACAAAAGTCATGTAGGCCGACAGGGTTTGAAAGTTACAAATACGCTCATGCAAGTCACGGTGTACATCAACAGCGCTTCCACCTCATAAGACAAAACTCCTTCGGTCTCTTGTTTGTATAGTACAGTCATTTTCCTAGTTCCAGATCGCGAAAATTATTCAGTAAGACTGCAGCTAAAAAACTCAAATTCGAGTGAAATATGGTCAGAAGTCAAATTTGTGTTTTGGATATACTTCAATTTTTTTTCAAAATCTAAGCTTTTACATTTGGACTCACGGGATCGATCGACGAAAGTGACGACGACACCTTTCCTAATTATGGATCGGTTTAGGATCGAGACAAAAACGTCTTCACAAATAAAAAGTAGCCATACGAAAAATCCATTTTCAGCCAGAACCATTGTGAAAAGTTGCTTTTCTAATAAAGAATTTTTTAATTTTGAGAAAATTATACGAAAAATAAGAATTCCAATGAATTAAAAAGTAGAAATTGCGTAAAGTTTGACTCGACTTTTCAGCTGTACAGTGAGCTATCAACGGTACCCTCCCCGCGCCGCACAGTTGACGAACCCATTACGTCACATACATTTCTGCTGCGCCCGTGTAGTTGAGTTCGCAACGACTGCGTGGTAACGCCGCACGATCCGAAAGTAGCGGGAAAAGCTTGCAGTTTTCGATAAATTAACAAAAACGGAAACTCTAAAAAAGTCATTTTGATTAAGCAAACATTAGATGCAAAGGTTTATATGACTATTCAATATAAAGAAATATTTGGAATCACTCCTGTTTTTTCCCCCTTGTGAACTAGGAAAATTCCGGAACTAGGAAAACGACTTGCAGTACAACGGGCGGAGTGGATAACAAAATTAGCTGTCGATCTCCGAATTCAAGTTTCACGTATGACCGCGGAACCGGGTTTTCAGCGGCACGGTGGTTTTTCAGGAAGTCTGCCCTTCAGTAAGAAATTTCACAGACATTTTATGCATGGATGTTTGTTCCTTATTTATTTACTTTTTTACAGGTATCCGGCCCGGAAAAATGGAACCAGGTTTTGAAATCGACGGGTGGGTACCCGGCACAGGCCTATAAAGCACACCAATTAAGTCAAGCACGCTCCCAGATCCCGCGTAAAAAAAGGCTGTACTACGGCAGCTTTACCCGATTCGTAAACAGCAGCTGCATGTATGAAAAAAAGTTTCACCTTTTTTTTTACCAATCAAGCATTTCCGTCGAATGACCATTTTCAGGTCACCTAGGCCTTATTTTGTTCATAAAGCGCGCTGACATCTCAACGATTTATCGATGCAGATAAGTTACCAGATGACGTCCCAATAAGCAATTAAATTACATTTTGTTGGACAAATTTCACAACTGTCGTCCCTCTTGATATGTCTACATGTATTTTGAAAGGAAAACGAAGTAACTGTTCGTTCTGTGAAATTACAATTTTGGTATGAAAATAAAACTGAACAGACAAAACTAAAGTCCATTTTCTGAATGCATTATAAATTGATGACAAATAAAAATTGCAACTGCAGGCGACGTGCATTTGAAAATGAAATTTCTTATCAAGAAACTACAAGGGCGCACTATTAGAGTTTGAGGACTTTAGCCAAAAAATGGAATGTACATGTTTGAGCTTTGCAGGAAGTAGCACAAACAAAATTGTCAGCAGTGTATATATGTCAACTTAAATTCATCGACAATTTAAATGTACCTTGCAACAAACTACATGTATATCCAAAAGCTATCCAGAATAACAAAAGTAATCCTTCTCTCCTCTTAAGTTTAATTCCAAGATAACAAGATAAGACTACAAGAAAGCCCATCTTAATAGCCATACTGTCATCTTCAGGTGAAACGAAATCAGTAAAATTCCATTAACTGGAGAAGGCCGTCTAATAATGAACGCAAGACTTTCCACTAACATTTTTAAATGGATAAAAAATATCTGGTACATGTAGCTATGATACAGTATTCAAGTATTTTGACATAGGCCTATACCATTTTTAACTGAAAAAAAAGAAAATGCAAATTCATTATTAAAGAATGTAAAAAGTCGAATAATACAAAATATTGAGGATAAATGACGCACTGTGATATACACCTCGCAAAATAACGGTTTATTTCGTTTAGCGTTTGGAGCCCTTCCGTCCTGTGGGCGTGGTCGACTTTGCTCCAGCGCGTGAGGAGCTTTTGCTGGTGCCGTCTTTCTTGGCGTTTTTCCGCCGGGAGCCCTTGGCGCTACCGGAACTTGAGTTTTCCTTTGTCGATAACCGGGCTAATAGGGAGAGACATATTAGTGTACTCCTGGATATTGTGGTATTCATAGGCCTACACGTGTAGAATAAAAGGTATCTGTAACAACTACAGAGGAATGGAAACAATCTTTTTGGGCAGCTTTCAATGAGTGTATTTCATAAATCGTGGGCCATCAATCAGGACAACATGTAGTTCATAATTAAACATTTTATCAGAAAAGATGGTTATTTTGGTGTTCTATAGTTACCCCTAACCCAACCACACGTCAGTAAATTAGCTTAACATTTTTCTACAAGACCCGCGAAGTGAACAATTCACGCATGTGGCTTGACTCACCCATGAAAGCAGCGTCAATGGCTTGTACGTCATTCAGCAGGGGCACGTAGTGTGGTTTTTGTGTGCCCTCGTTCTCTGCAATGAAAACAGTCGCAGAAATCAGAATCTGCCTTTACACGGTGTCACCGCCTTCAAGGTGCTGTGCATCAAACTGCGTAATACGGTCCCAAAATCTGGACGAGATTGCCCGAAACCCCGTCCCCGTTAAAATTTGCGAGACTGCAACATCTGAAACACTGTTTATTCACTGCTTTTAAGGTTTTTTGTGGTAAAGAAATATTGGGTCGCTGTGGGGGAACCGTCACTTATTATATTGGTAACAAACTGTATATAATCAAAAATTGCATGTACATGTGGAGTTCTTATGCGTACTTCAGCCTGGGTTGGTAAATATCTGGTAAGAATGAGAGCTCAAAGGTCAGAATGCAGAGGTCACACTTACTCTCAACCCGAACGAGGACCAAGGTTTCCCGCTCCTTGAGCACTTCATTTGCATACCGCAGAGGCGTTTCCAGGAGATGTTTAACATTGCCTTCGTTGTCTGAAAGATCGACGTCCACTTCAGACAAGAAAGAGAATATACTGTCAGTAATACTATGCAGGGGACAAAATGAAAAACGGAAAATGTGCGCTAGACATTCATAATGTTGATGGGTAAAAAAAATGATGCTCGACTTTGGTATTCGCTGAACGAACATGGATTTGTGTGGAACGATCAATTAAACCTGCTTTTTTGAACCACTCAATGGACATCTCAACGAAATTACACGCACAAAAATCGGGGCCATGCAAGTCTGTTCTGCAAATTCACTTGCCACTTTCCATTTGTATGAGCTCATTTTAATCAAGCTGCACATTAAGTTCGTTTCGTTGTTTTCTAGGTGTATATTTAGTGCTGTATTTAGAGAAATAGTTCAAATTAAGAGGTGTTTGTAATGTTGATTTAATTATGGGTTTTATTCGGTCCTATCATCTGGTTTGGAGTTTAAAATTCAGGATTTGAAATGTTAAGGCTTAAGGTTTGGGGTTGGAGGACTTCAAGTCTGGGGTTATGAATTTTAGGCCCATGGGCTTGGGGCTAGGGTTAGTTCATTTTTGGTGGATTTTGTTTTTTGGAGTTCGTATTTAAGGATAAATAGCTTGTTGTAAACACACGGGGTTGGTTTCTCTGTCTTTAATTAAATTGTATTGACAAGTTATTGCTAACTATAACTTACCATCCTCTGCACAGTTGCATCGCTGCTTGATGTTCTCAAGGAGCAACAAGGTTCGGCAGTTAGGATTAAACAAGGCCTCTTCCTTTTCTACATAAATGAAAAATAAGATAATCTTCTGATGTACACCTGTTCCTCTTTTAAAACTGACGCAAAAATCAATGTTAAAGATTTCAGACAGCTCACAGTTAAAGAAGTGTGCAACATCAGTCAAGTTAAAGCCTTCTGTATGACTTTCCTAAAACTCAACACATCAAATCCTTATGATTTTTAGGCCTCTGCACTCAGCAAGCACAACATTTGCTGCCTGAGATTTTGCCTTCGAGTTTTCCAAATCCATGTGAAAAGACATTAAAATCTGAAGGGAAAGTTTTAAAATTGAACCGAAGACACCAGCGGCGTGGCTGGACGGGGAGGGATGGGGCATCCCCCCCCCGAAAAATGGTCACTCCCCCAGGCATTTGCATTTTGGAAATGGTACATATCCTGATGTGATCACGATTATGTACATGGATATGTATGATATGTCCAACATTAAGTCAGCCCCCCCCCTTTAGTGTGAAGCCCCCGCTCTCCCTCCTGTGCTCCGAATCCTGGTTATGCCGCTGGAAGACACCAATATTTTATGAACGGTAGTAAACGGTACAACTGCACTCTAGAATCACATAATGTATGACAAATAACACGTACCTATTCTGCCCCCTCTCAAATCTGGGATAACCCACAGAGCACAGGTCATATATTGACATTACACATATTCCTGATATATCATTATAAAAAAAGAAACGTTTATTGGAGGGTTAAACTTTACTTTAATACCCCCAACCAGGAACACAAAAATCTTTGAAAATAACTATCTGCTATATATGCTTGGAACAATCTGTCATTTCCAGATTTACATGTATTTCAGTAAGCTGGTGGGAAAATTGGACAGAAAGCAGACCTACCCACATGACCCATGAACACTTTGAGTCACCACACAGTGCCAAGAACATCTAATATAGAAAACTGGAACTGTTTGCCCACTGTACTGATTGAAGATTCCCTGATGAAAGTATTAAACTCGATGGTTGTGCCAAGCATTTAGATGTATTTCTTGAACACAACTGGATAGTTATTTTCGAGGGTTCTGCTGTTTCAAATTGTTTTGCTTCACGGGGGATTTAAATAAAATCTGTCCTGCTTATTTTAAGTGGCTATGGGATGCGGATGCTAAACTCTTCCTGTCCCTGTAAATAATGATAAACTGTACGGCTCTTACCTCCGAAACGTACTGTTATGAACATCGTCACTGAAGCCCAGAGGTCAGAAACCACCCTGCTGAAAAAATACTCAACGAGCAAAGGCAAGAAATCACTTTCAATGTCTCAGAAATAACAGTACATGACTGTAGGTCCAGCCTAAGTGAGCACCGTGTCTTAGTATCGGGTAATCAAATTTAGGACCCTCAACTTTATTGTCTAGAATTGTCTACTTCGAGCCTTCACACACGCAGTTCTCAACAGGCAGTTACATCGAGTTCACACCATGGAGGAATACAAATCACACGATGCACTGAGTGGTACATGAGAGGCAAACAGCTTAACACACTGGTCAGGCGGCCAGCATTTGTCACCAACCCTGCAGTCCAACGCTGATTGTGTTAGTGAACGGTGAAATGCAGAATAACATTCAATGCACAGTAAGTGAGGACCGTCACCGAACTCGGAACATGAAGGTTGGTCATCTGCTTCGCTTAAAAAAGTGCCGGGCAACTTCAAAAATGGCGACGGAGATCTGCGAAGTCCATCGTCAACGATCAGTCATATTCATTCACGCTCCAGCATGCGTCACATGCATTGTGTGGAGCGCAGATCCTGCATCGATCGACCACATTGTGTACATGCACACACCGCGCCAGTGCCTAGAAACGGCACCGCCAGGGTCACCACCCGTGTGATTGGTTTGTGACAGGTGATTCATCGTGACAATCGGGAGCCGTAAAGTATGAAAAGCGCCCTCTTTTGACAGTTGAGAACTCCTGAATCTGAGAGTTTCTCCAATATTATACATGAAGCATATAAAAACTACTCGTGCAGTTCCCTAAAAGCAAAAGCATAAACTGATCCAAGTTTGTAGAGTGACTGCAGATAAAGGAAATGATCTGAAAGGCCACTGAGCCCCTGGGGCGAAAAAGAAAAGAAAAGAGTTTTCCTAAAATTGAAATGGTTATCGGTGCTCGTGGCTGTGGAAAAGGGAATGTAGGGTCTTGAGTGCTAACATCATCTTTAGTCACACGTACTGTGCCGAGCAGATGGTTAGTAAGACACTGGCCCATGGTCTGACCAGTGAAGGTGGAGTAAAAAAAATTAAAAAATAAAAATAAAGGAAGTGGATGTAAGGGAAAAGTGGTGCAAAACGGTACCCTTAGCTTTGAAGATCTTTAATGTCCAGGAGCCTAAACATCCACGGGTACAGTCCACCAATTAACGTACCACTGAAAACAGTGTAAAATTGGCACTGTTCAGGGTCCCATAACATGCATACCAACACTCCTGAGATTTCTGAAACAAAAATGAATTTATTGTCTAGTCCCTAATCTTTCAATTTCTTGTCCATTTTTGGTGGGTTAGGGCCTTACCAATTACAGCTTTAATTATTCCCACAAAACAAAAATCGCTCCCCCGAAAAGTGATTTTTCCGGAGTCTGGTTGCAGCCATTTTTCAAGTGGCAACCCTCAACTTTCTCGGGCACTTAGGACCATTTTTCAACCGTAGTTTTAGTCATTATACTCTAATATGAAAGCTCAAAGACCCAGGAAGTTGATCCTGGCAACAATTTACACAAGCTCATTATTTGGGGGACTAAACAATCTCCTTTTTAAAAAAGATACCGTGGTGGCACTTTTAATGCTGATGAGCTGGCCAGAAATTCTCAATTGAATTAATGGACTGCACCCTCGGTGTCATTGGTCCCTTTTACCCTAAAGGTGGGATAAAAAGGACCCCTGGTACTGTTTTGTCCCAATGAACACGTGCTTTCTCGTGTGTCATGTACACAAGCTGGCCTAATCGTGAACACAAGAGTACGATCGGTGATTTTTAAGGAGTAGTTGCCTTCAGGACGATCCAGTTTCATATTTTCAAAAGATCAGCTGACATAAAATGCAGGCTAGATCCGCTTTTTCTAGACAACATGCAGTTTAATACAATGCCTACTATCTGTGAAATTCAATCCTCAAGGAAAACGGTGCTCACAATATTGTAATACATGTACTGGATTAGATAATGTCTTGCTTTACTTGCATCTGTATTTATGCAGTGCAAATGACTGGACGCTCTCCACCATTTGGGTAAACGAGCAGGGTCCGTATTGCCCCTGTATGATATTCCTTCTACCCCAAAGTTCACAAAAGTGAAAAAAAAAAAACTTGTGTTGTACTAGACAAACCGCGTGACTACGAGTGAAAAACTTTCTTATGTATTTTCACATAAATAACGGTTCAACTTATTCGCACAATATAGAAATATTTCCCCTTGCCATTTTGAAAAGATACCTCACAATTTTTACAGACTTTGTTCCTGTACCATAGATCACAGAAGTAGAAACATAGGCTGCAGACGCACGTACGAAAACTTCGAATAATGTCGGCTTGGCTGTTCCAAGCAGTATTGTAAAGTCAACGTTAGATGGCGCCATACCGTTTTCGAGGTAACATTTTAGAAAAGATTTACCCCACTTGCTCAACGTGCCTCAGTCCCGTAGTATAGTATTCTAAATTGAAATCTTGAAATGAACCAAATTTTATGCAAGCCGGAGCTAGGTTTTAATTTGACCCTCATTGCCCTTGGCTGTCTTAAAAATGGCCACCTCATCAGCAAAATGCCAGTTATCCCACAGCTACTCCACCGATGCTAACTTGCACAAAATATTTGAAACAGATATTACAAGGGCTATTGCTCTTAAAACACGACTTGAGAATGAGAAGGCTCAACAAATGATTGGAAGACTATCATGTTGAAAGACCATCAGGATGAAATCGGCAGAGTGGTAGAATGTGCTAGGCTCGTTCACTCGGAGAGTGCAATTCCAACTGTCGACGTCCGGCAGTTCCCTCGGCCGACCGACTGGGAAGCATGTGCCCTTAAAGCTACTATTATAAGGGAAGGTTCAATCATGGAGGTAGAATCAACTACAAAATTTACTTCAAGGAAAAAAATCGATTAAACCACCCGTGTTGATTGCGACAGTTAGTCTCGCGGTTGTTACCTAATCTGTGCCCGACCTGCCAATCAGTCTTTTTATTTGTTTACCCAAGAAAGACTTTGGAGCGCTGAACTGAAACGGTTTTGATTGAACCCGGACGTATGTGTGAGAGCTGAAAAGATGGTATGGTGTATACGGAACCATAACGACAATGACGTACCCTTTAACCCCCTAGCCCAGTGGGTATTATTACATTTGATTGGGGTGCGTATTTTTTTCTCAAGAGAGTTGTGCAACTAGTTGCGTTACCCAAGTAGCGATCATAAAGTGAGGATATTTTCCTGTATTTTACGTAGAAAATCGCTGGACGATGAAACTGGAGCCAAGAATGGAAGTACACTAATGGATATTTAACTAGGAAATCACCAGCAACTTTTTGAAGGGTTTGCGGCCTCTAGTTGTGTGGAAATATAGTGGCGGAATTGAGGGGGAAATGGGGACTAGCGCCAGCGGGGACGGCCGGGTAACCGGCAATGGCCGACCGTGTCGTCGTGCGGATCACTCGCTGACCAACTCTCACAGAAAACGCAAACTTTCGTCGGCGCAAATGAGCTGGTCTAGGGGAGTGTTGGTGCTGGTGGTGGTTTTCGGATCATTCCTTGTCGGTGAAGTCGAGGGTGAGTCGTTAATATCTGAGATTTGTCCTTCAGTCATATTTGTCTTCATTAAATCCCCGGTGTCAGTTATTGTCAATTTGACCGGACCGTGGACCTGGAGGTCCATCGGTGGTTTGACTGTGGAGGTACGGTACATGCGCGGTGCTCTTGGTTTGACAGATTTGCCACACAGGTGGTTGTGTGCAACGCATATATACAACGTATGTGCAACACCATTTCGTGTGGAGATTATTGTTCTGCACAGCCAAAAAACAAAAACAAACAAACAAACACAAAACAAACAAAACAACAAGAAGAAACCAAAATGAGATGGAGGTTTGCATGGAGACATAGAGATCCATCAACGCTGTAGAATTTTTGCATTTGGAGAAAAAAATAGTGTTGAAATTCTGGTCACAAAACTTTTGAAGCATTGTTTTATATTGCCCATGGAGGATGCTCATTTATTTGCTGGCCAATTTTTTCCACAAAAACGTCCTTGTGAAATCTCAGTGGATGTTGAACAAAGAGTAAACATAAAATTAATAAAATTCAATGGTAGTAATCGTACATATATGTATTGTGACGGAAATTTTTGTAATGTAAACTTTCAGCAGCCAGTTGGTTTTTGAAGTGATGGCATATGATTTAGAAAACAAAGATTTGCAACTCAATAAAAAAGTGAAATGCTTTTCCATATTTCAAGGGTTGAGACTATCGAAGAAGGAACTCATTAAGGGAAGAATTCCGTACATGGATGCTGCTAATTATTAGTGACCTGTTCATCATCTAAAAGCAACAAAGACCCCTTGAAGAAATTGAATTGGAAAGAGAACTCCATATACACATGTACAGACAACTCTAATTTTCCATTAAACTGTTACAACAGCCATTAGAAAGTGATGAAATATCCTAATTTAGCTAAGTGAATTAAGTAGTTTCTAAGAAAACACTTTTTTCTAGACAAGACTCATAGGTTTGTGCACTGGGGCGTCAAGTGTTGTCCATATATGGAACACTTCCCATTAAATTTAGCAGGGAAAATATAAATTTGAGGTACATGTATGTCGAAATTTGAAAAACACTGACATAGAATTTTTCAGACCTGTCATTGGATTTGTGTGTACTGTCAAGCGGCGTCCATACACTTAACTTTCCCTCTTTAAGATACTGCTAGGCTCCAAAATAATAAATTAACCTTCCCCAGTTTGGATGCACAGGATTAAATCAGACTCATTCTTTTGAATTTGTCAGGTTAATCTTGTTTTCTGCCCTCTTCTGTCATAGGAGTGTGTGACTGTAACAGTGCAGACTGTACAGCGGGTTGCAGTGCAGGAACGTACTGGGACAGCAACGCAACAGCGTGTATACAATGTCCGGCTGGATACTAGTAAGTGTTCAAGGAGCCCATACCAGGCCTAGGCTGTGAGAATTCAGCTTTTTTAACTGATTCCAGCTTGTCCGTTAAGACGTTGACCCTGAATTTCAGCTTTTTGTACACCTGGTCTTTACAAAGTGTCCATGAGAACTTGTTACATGGTTGTACATTTCAGCTTTTTGCTAGCTGTTTTCAGCTTTAATTTTAAGTGGCCACTCACACCCCTGCCAAAAACAAACCTTCCCCTGTAACCTGTTAGAAAAGTGTGTGTAGACTTTGTGCGTACCTGTCCACAGACATCGAACTGTGGAAACCAAAAGTTATACTTGGACGGACATTCCATTACATTTTTATCACAAGGGGTAGAATTTATCCACCCCGAGCTTAAGTGCGCCCCAAGTCGACGAAAAAGTAGTACATGTATTTCGGTTCAAATTGTGAACCCAGAATTTACTAACTGAAAACATTTCTGAGAGAAGGATTGAGGCTTTCTTATTGCTATGCACTTAACAACAATGAATCAGTCAGCAAAGAAGAGAAAAGTTTATACCGGTAGTGCAGGAAAATCTACAGAAACACAGGACTTTTACAAACCGATGTACAGTAACATTAAGGCTGAGATGACATCACAGCTTTGCTCATGAATATGGAATACTTATTTGCTGCGTGAAGACGAGCGCACACACATCCCTGCATGGGCTGCAACATTGTGAACCTGCTATACATGTA